TCTGCTTAAACTTTCCTGCAGTGACTGGATTAAGAACAATAAACATTCTTTACCACAGCATGAAATTAGATACACTCAGGTGTTTTGAATAATGCATTAGAAACTTTGGCTAAAATAGCTTCTATACTATTGGCATAAAAAGGTATTCACAAAATATTACTTCTGTAATGTGATACATTTCCGAGTAAAACAATATTCAGTGGGAAATAATGTGGGGTGGCACCATCCATAAGGGTTTAACTGGATCATGACTGTCAGCTTAATATTTTATTGCCTATTTTTTTTTTTCACCTTGGATGATGAATTTTGCAGGAGGTATGAAAATAATTTTTAATTAAAACAATGCACTGGTTAATATTAAGACAAAGGGCATTTATTATGAAAGTAAACCGGGTCAATTTTGATTACATGTTGTTTTAGCATAACATTACACTACATAACCACTGTCAGAAAAATGAGATGTTCTTCTTTCTCCTTTGGACAAATTAAATGACATACACACTCACTCACTCATGCATGCATGCTCGCACTCACTCACATACACACTCACTCACTCACATACACACGTCTGGTTTGCCATCCTTGTGGGGACTCTCCGTAGGCGTAATGGTTTTTATACTGTACAGACCGTATATTCTATTGCCCTACACCTAAACCTACCCCATACAGGAAACTTTCTGCATTTTTAGATTTTCAAAAAACTTAATCCTGTGCGATTTATTAGCTTGTTTTCAACCTCAATTTAGGTCCCCACCGTGACACGAATCCCCATGAGTCTGTGTGTATTCAGGTTTAAGTCCCCACCAGAATAGAAAAACACACACACACACACACACACACAGTATTGTTCTTATTAACACGAGGAACAGGAATGTTGTTTACGACTTTGAAAGGCAAAAAGATGCCAAGCAAGAACATCTAATCTTGTTCCTGACGACACTTATGTTCTCACTACGACACATTCAGTGATATATACACACACAAACCTATTCTACCTGACAGATATGAGAGTGCAGTGGGCGATCTCTGTTCCAGGCTCTCATTTCTTCCATTAAACGCCCTCTCTACCTATTCTCTATATTATCATCAGGAGTCTTAGGTTTAATACAAGAGCAATAAATATTAGAGGAAAAAGTAGGGAGGAAAATATAACTTCATGCAACAGACTCTGGGAAAAAACACAAACAGGACATACAGGCAAAGATATACTGCACTGCATATGACTGAAGGGGCATCAGTGGTTTGTTCATAAAGCTATATTGCTGACTTTGCCATCTAAGCACATTGACTATTTTAAATCATAATAAATCATCACGTGAGACTTTCCTCCCCACAAATCCTCAGCAGAAATGCTCACAAATAAAACACTGCTGACCCTTAATCATACATAGGACATAGTGACATTCAGTCTGAAAACATTACTATAGAGAAAGTAATCAGTGGGTTTGTTATAAATATTGGATAAACTATACAAATGTGGGGACTAAATAATGTTCAGAGTTTTTAAATTAATACTTATATTTAGCCAGGAGTCTTGATATTGATCAAAAGTGACAGTTAAGACATTTATAATATACATTTTTCTATTTGAAACAAATACTATATATTTTTATAAAAAAAAAAAAAAAAACATGATTTCCACAAACATTCAGCATCACAAATGTTTTCAGAATTGATAATAAGAAATATTTCCTGAGCAGCAAATTAGCATATTGAAATGATTTCTGAAGGATCATGTGACACTGAAGACTAGAGTAATGGCTGCTGACATGCTGACAATTCAGCATTGCAAATTCAATTCAGCATAAGAGACTTCTTTTAAAAATCTCACTGACCCCAAACTTTTGAAGAGTAGTACATTAACCAAAAAAATAAAGGGTTTCTGCCTCATGAAGACTGAACCTGAAAGGTTTAAACAATTTTTGGGGTTGTTTAACCCTTAAATACATACCTCTTTTGCAACCCGGGACATCATTCACTACCCTCTCCCTCCTTTATTTTCTAAAGTTAGACATCAACAACATAATAAAAAATATATATAAAAGAATGTCTGTTTTCTGATTGATTTTTTGTAAAAGTGTATAGGGTCGCTAGCGACCCGAGGTATGTAATAGTGTAAGTATATTTTTCCTGCACAACAATAATTAAATATCCGATGACTCAATAAGTGCGATTCACCATTATTCCTCAAGGTGTTTGATAGACAATGATGACGTGATTTTTTCACTCAATCATCGCAGGCATAAAACAAAAGAATATCATCAGCAAAAATTTAACTGGCTTGCCTTGAATGGATTTACTGCAGAGCAATTACTGTATGTAATGAAATATAAGTGTCAAAATATTGATTTTTAAGTAATTGAAAATGATAGTTTTGAGAATATGGTTGAGATCGCGAATATGAGCCAGATGCTGAATGTACTGGGGAAGTGCACTCTGACAGTGATGGTAAAATCATCTGCTCAAATTGAACCCTTCAAAGTTTCAAAAGGTAACGAAATATGATTTATTTTATTCTTTTGTAAATGTTACTAAAATATCAGGAGAGTTTTATGCTATTGCTGCAGTTACAGATCCATCCGTGTTAGATAAATAGGTCCGGGTCGCACTTGTAGAATTCCAGGTCTGAGAAAATTACTGCTCTTTTACCCCACTGAAATAACACCTTAATATCAGATCAAATGTAGTCTGTTCTTTCTCATTTCCTACTCTCTCCTCAGTAACAGTAAAGTATCAACAAACAGTAAGCCTTGGATCTTTGCACTGCCTGATAAGCTGGAGAGATCATAAACTTGCTCTGGGTTTTGTGGAGCTAAAGTTCATCTTCCTCCCAGTGAAGGACGAGTTGACACAGCTGCTGGGGTTGAGTTGACATTTTTGAGTTGAGTTTATTCAGTCTCTTTTCCTCGCTCACAGACATACACAACATGAAATGCTTCCTTTTTAATAATCTTACCTTCCGGGTCAAAGGTCTGGAAGACTCTTCTGGCCTGCTCTGAAGGAGACTCTGGGGCCACCAAAGCCATCTCCTAGATTGAGAGGGAAATATGAAATAAAATTAAAAAAAGTTATGGCATGGGCAACATCATTTTTGTGATGCTAAAATATTCCTATTTCAAATTTAGAGATAAAGAGATAAAGATAAATCATTCATAAGTTGATTTTTTCTTCACACGATCTCAGAGTACTGAGGAGGCATAAACCGATGATGCAATGTGCTTTAAGGGCCCTTGCTGAAATACACGACAGTAAAAATCTGAAAATGTTTATATGAACTGTACTTGCGTCAATTTGTTTGTGTGTGTGTGTGTTTGCAAAGGGACTGAGTGTGTGATTATGTTTTGTGTGTGTGTGTGTGTACAGTATAAGAGTATAACGGAGCTAAAGATAAACTCATAAATGGCAAAATTGCCCTTCTATCAAGCAATCTCACAGATCTTTTAATGAAAACAATCTTCTATCTCTCTCCCACATGCACAAAACTCACAAACAGGCTGCAAACTTTGCTGATTAATAGAAAACAAACCAAGATCCATGTGTGTTTCTTCATGTTTGAGTTACAGCGGGATCACCGCCTCATCAATACGTGTTGCCTGAGGGACTTGGGACAACAAAACACATCTGTGTGTGTGTAAAAACTACTCAAGCTGGAAAATATGCAGAGTCAGCATGCACAGCTGAATCCCGTACAGCTATAAACAGTTCACAGAGTTTTCCATATCTACATTCCAGTAACGTTCAGAGTGCCATATAGCCTCATCAAGTATTTTAATCTTCATTTAGTTAACCATTAAGTGATAAGTGCATTTCAAATATGTGCCATTTCAGTTAGGATGCTGCTTAAGAAGTTAGCTGCCTATGTTTTTTTGGAACAGAATTTGAGTGATCCAAACTTATGACCTGCCCCCTCTTTTGAACACATTCCCTTTAAGACTTCATTCTCGCCATCTGTATTTCAATCGCACAAGCTCTGATTCTCATTATTAGAAAGGAAGGCAGTGGATTAAGAGGTTAACTAGTTCTCATGGTGACTGATAAGAAAAAGGTAACGTTTTCAAAACTCTGCATGGGAATTCATCAATACTCTTCAAATGTGAACCATGAGAGTCAGACGAGTGTGTGAGTGTGAGTGTGAAAAAGCTCTATTCTGTTTAAATGAAAGTGTTGTCAAATGATGGGCAATAAACTGCACCCTGATATTTAAGCAGCATATGGCACTCATACACACACACGCCAAGTATATTGCGTAATATTTCGCATACTGAGAGGTTTGCTCAAACCCCTAATCTAGGGCCCTATGATTTCTGTGAAGCAGAACACAGTCATTAAAACGAAATTTACTGTATAATGCGAAATGTCTCAGAATTTGGCAAATTTTGGATTAATAAATAAAAAGTAGGGCTGCAGAATTAATCAAATTCAAATGGTGACATGGACTACTGTCTGTGATTATTTAACCACCAAAAGACTGCTGTTTAAATATAAAAATGTACATGTTCTGGGTCTCAGAGTGAAAAAGAGGCCAAGTTTCAGAGCTTTAAACTTCAGTACGTAACTCGCCCAACACAATTTGAGCAAAGTACATAAAATATGGCTCATTTCATATGGCTTGTTGAGAGATGAGCTATTACTGAAATAATGAGAAATAAAATCTTTGCCTATTGGGCCCAGAATGCCTTGACACACCCTGGCAACTAGAACCCAACCGATTTATTGCTTTGCCGATTTTATTGGCCGATATCAGAATGAGCTTTATTGCCAGGTATGTTTACACATACGAGGAATTTGTTTTCATTACAGAAACTTCCACAGTGCAACAGAATGACAGAACAAAAACACAGATTAAAAAATATATATATATATATTTTA